AGAATGTTTTGAAGTGGCAACTGTGGCTTTGGAAGGATGAGTTCTATTATTAAAGGGCAAGTGTCCTTATCTCATGACACCAAGCCTAAACTCCAAATATTAGGAAGGGATTTGGGTTTATTCAAAGATCTCTCTACATATATAAAAACAAAGTATTCATAAATAAATGAGCAATTTATGACGTTATCACCAGTGTCACCATATCATCTGTGTATGTCCTCTTTCTACTAGGTTCTACTGTAGGAAGCCTTTCTAGACCTTTCTCCAGTGCGAATTGTATTCCCTTCTCTCCTCCCTTCTCCCCATTCTCTCTATTGACCACCTACCAGCTCCTCAGCAGACTGTGCCTATGATCCCATCACATTACATTGTATCATAATAAATTATCCGCCTGCATCATTAGACTGACATCCTTGAAAGCAAAGATGGTGTCTGAGAAGGACAAAGGAGGTAGACTCACACTTCCTGATTTTTAAGCGTACTGTACAGCTACAATAATCAAAACAGCCTGGTACTGATACAACACTAGACACATAGATCAATGGAATATAATTAAGAGTCCAGAAATATATCTACACGTCTATGGCTAACTAATTTTTTTTACAAGGGTGCTAAATCCATTTGACGGGCAAAGAAGAGTCTCTTCAATAAATAGTGCTGGGAAAATTGGATTCCCACATGCCAAAAAAAGAAAAGAAAGAAACAGGATCCATGCACCATACACAAAAACAAATAAAATGGATTAAAGACCTAAATGTGCAAACTAAAACCATAGAATTCTTGGAAGAAAATGTACGGTCAGGCCTAGTTTCAACAACGGATTATATAATGTAATAAAAGCATAAACAGCAAGAGACTAAATGAATGAGAACTCATAAAAGTGAAAGACTTTTATTCATCAAAAGGCTGCCAAAAGAGTGAAAGACAAGCTGCTAATGGGAAGAACATCTTCTCAAAGCATAAGAATGCTTACAACAAGAATCAAATAATCCAAAATATACACAAAACATCAACTATCAAATGACGAAAAGACAAATATCCCAAATGTAAAATGGGCAAAGGGATTTGAATAAACATTTCACCTAATGGAATGTCCAAATAGTCACCAAACACATAAAAAGATACTCAATGTCTTTAGCCACCAGATAGAGGCAAAACAAACCCACAATGAGACACCACCTCACTTCCACTGGGATGATTAGTAGAACACAACAAACCTTGATGAGGATATGGGGAAATTAGAGCCATTATCCATTGCTTGAGAGAATGGAAAATGGTACAGGCATTCTGGAAAACAGTATGGTGGTTCATCAAGGAAAAATTCAATAGGACTATCATGTGACCCCACAATTCCACTCCTCAGTATATACCCAAAAGACTTGAAAGAAGAAACTCAAAAAGAGACTTGTATGAAAGTGTTTCTTACACCATTATTCACAATAGCCAAATGATGGAAACATATCCATCAATAGATGAATGAATAAATGAAATGTGGTACCTACACATTCAGTGGGATAGATACTACTTAACGAGTAGGAGAAATAAATGCTCAATACATACTAAAGTATGGATGGAGCTTGGTGACACCATGTTAAGCAAAATAGGTCAATCGCAAAGGGTAAGTATTATATGACAACATTTATATGAAAAGACAAGAAAGGCAAAATGTATAGAGACCAACGTTTCTTCGTGGTTACCAGGCATGAAAGGGAGGAGGAGAAAGGGGAGTTAACATGGGTAGAAAAGCCACATTGATTAAAGGGAGGGTTGCAAAAGTGATTGTTATCATTGATGTCATTAAGTTGTACACTTATAAAAAAGTTGAATTGGCAAAAGACTTTATAATAGATCTTTACGAAAACAACAATAGCTGCTGAGGATGGTTGTGTCAAAAGTATCACCTCATGGGATTTGATTCCTTGGTTTGGGAGCATGCCACATCCCAGTCAGTTGGCCTAATAGCATGTTTAGTGTTATTTCTGTCTCTTAGGGAGCTCTAGTGGTAAGGAGTTGTGCTGCCAACCCAAAGTCTGGCAGTTCAAATCCACCAGGTGCTCCTTGGGATAAAGTTGGACAATCTCCTATACAATTTACTGTTTCTGAAACCTGCTGGAAAGTCATCTATGAGTCATTTCTGACTTGGTTGCACATCACAGCAATAACAACTCGACCTCCTAGTTTGTTATGTAGTGCCTAAAGCCTTGAAGCTTGGAAGTCAACCATCCAAGGCGCAACAATTATTCTCTTTGAGGAAAAAAGTAAGTCAGGAATCAGAGAAGGCTATTAAAATATGGCTTATTGCCTCCATGAACAATGGCCTCTTTTGCTATGTGACTAGAAGAACTGGCTGGTACCTGGCTGCCATCACTGAATATTCTGATCAAAAATGTCGTAGAAGACTCCTGATCAAAAGGGGGCAAGTGCAGAACAGAATTTCAAATTCTAATAGGCCCTAAACTTTCTGGATTTATGGAGGGTGTATGAACTCCTCAAACAATTGCCCTGAGATGATCTTTAAAGTTTCAGCCAAAAAAATTCCCTGAAGTTTTGAACAACAGTTTAAATTAGCTAGTTTTAAAAAGGTCTGTCTTGAGCACTATTTTGTTTAAAGACTAGTTGTGTGGGATCAAATTGAAAACAGCCACTGAAACGGGTAAATAAGTTTGCAGTAATGAGGGATTGACTAGTCAGAAAAGAAGGGTAAGAATGGATGCATAACTTGAAGAGTGTAAGCACTAAGTTGTATATATAGGAACTGTTGAATTAGTGTAGATTTTACTAACAAAACCACACATATAGAAGAAGAGAGGAAAGATAGTGTCTGATTTCATATTTGTAGCCCATTGCCAGACGCAGAACTTGGCGTCCAGTAGGTCTTCAAAAAGTGTTGAATGAATGAATCTAAAGTAGAACCTATGTAATAAACTGAATATGCTGCAAATCAAAATGTGTTTTCCAAAACACTGTTCTGTGATGGTGGACTTTCTAGACCTGTGCTATCCAGTACAGCAGACCCTGGCTACATGTGGCTGTTGAGCATGTGAAAGCCTAGAAGAGTCAAGACTGCATTTCTCATTTTATATAATCTTTAATACTTTCTCTGTTGTATGGTTCTATGTTGCCACCTGTACTAATGGAAACTAAACATTAAACTGATATTAAAGTGTCAGTGCTGCCTGTCTCTATTTGAAAAGGATCAACTGCCGTTGCTGAGGAAGTGGGAAGTTGTCTTCTTAGCACCATTTTAGAGGCTGAGCATGAGGGAGGTTGTGAATAATACAACACACAGATCACTCTATTTTCTTGTTGTCATTGGGGTACATTGAGACCAAGGATGTTCATTTCTCTTGCTATGGCAGCCTGGCGAGAATCTAGACATTGTGTTACATCTTCTTACCCCATGCCAGTCCCCAGAAAGTCATGTGTCAGAAAAGAATTGAGCTCTACCATCCATCTCTGTTCCTATTTGTCAAGTGTCCGAAGCTCTTTAATGTACTGTCTTGGTAGTGAACTTGAAGTGGTGGTATATACTGGTTCCCATTTTGTGTCGCTTCTTCAGTGGACTTCAGAAAGGATTGGTCTTCCTGAAAATAGCTGATTGCTAAAAAAGAAAGGAGGATAGCTTTCTTAGAAAGCTGACACACTATTTTCAAGTGAACTAGAGAGAACTCTGATAATGAGAGTTCGTAGTTGCTACTTATGGGGGGTTTAAGTAAATACAAACTTGGGCTGGAAATTAGCCTCAAAATGGAAGTGTTTATCTTCTATTTTTGTGCTGACTGGTTCCCTGACTCTTATGAAGACCACCTGAGGGGGGAAAGAAGTTTAACTGTCTTAATGTTCTTGCCCTGATATAATGAAGCCCTCTTAATTACTGTTAAGCATCATAATGCATTTAAAGTTGGATTTCCCCTGACAACCCATTTACTTAAAGGTCTGGAAAAGATAAGCAGGGGCAAGAGGTCAAGAGTGGTCTCTGCACTCTCCCGAGGCCAGCACAGCTTTCCCGAGATAGAAATATTCCCCCGGGTGGGGGAAATGTCACATGACTCTGCCAAAGATGCTGGCTAGACATTCCAAGTAAGGGTTTCTTTTAAAAACAAATTTAAAATGTCATTCTTCTCAAGTTTAAAAGGAAACGGTGGCTCTCTCCTTCATTTCCCTTCATGGATGTTCCTTTTTTTTTTTTTTTTGCTTGTTCTTTGTTTGTTTTGGCTTTTTCCTTCCCCTCCATGCTTCTTTTCCTTGTCAAGTACTTAAATATCACCCACCAGTTCTCAGTTCTCTCCCTGAGCGTGTGTCGGGAAGGGGCAGATGGAAGTGGGGGTGGAAGGTGTGGGAGGTGGATGGAGGTGGTGGAAGGACTGTGAAAACACTGCCTAGGCCAGCCTGGACTAGGGAGCATTTTCATGAAAGTGTGAGGGTGCTTCTAACATTGGCTTGAGTGAAACTCTGAGTGGATCCACTTGAGTGGATCTTGGGGACCTTGTACCTCACTGAGGTAAAAGACTCAAAGGCTCATTATCTTTCAAAAATGATCACATTGATCTTTTTCTGAGCCCAGTGAAAGACTCATTCCTATGCTTGATGATTCTGGATGCCCGAGCAGTCAAAGACTCTGAGTGACCCATTGGCAGCTTGGGCTTTGGGGGAACATGGCTGCTGTCCTTCACTGAGCTGTGGCATCACTGATGACCCCACTGTGGCCTTGGTAGATCAGGAAGCTCGAGAATCATGACTTAGTCCGCAGTGCTCTACCAGTTGACCGCTTTGCCCTTAACAGACAGACCCTGGTCCCTTCTGGACTGTGGGAAAGTTAAGCTACTGTCCCTTTTGGGGCTCGGGGCCCTCACTCACAGAATGTGAGGTCATCACTGTTGCATTGGACTGGGGGGTATCAGCCATAGCACATGGCGGGGGCAAGGGGGAGTCTAACTTCTCTGCTGGGTTCATCAAGCTCTGCAGCAATAACGGCTGCCTTTTCTCTTCTTTGGGCCCAGGTTGCTTCGAATGCTGCATCAAGTGTCTGGGAGGAGTGCCCTATGCCTCCCTGGTGGCCACCATCCTCTGCTTCTCCGGGGTGGCCCTGTTCTGCGGCTGCGGGCATGTGGCTCTCGCTGGCACCGTGGCGATTCTTGAGCAGCACTTCTCCACCAATGCCAGTGACCACGCCCTGCTGAGTGAAGTGTAAGTATCCCCCTCAGTGACAGATGCATCTCCAAGACAACCAGCCCGGAAGGTTTTCAAAAGATGACCATGTGCTCTCCAGGCTGTGCTGAGGGGCTTTCACTATAGCCAGGAAGAGTTTTTGGGGGAGCAAGAGGCCAGAGCTCAGATATGGTGAGTGTCTGGGACCTGGGATGGGCCCTACCTGTGTCTGGACTTGGGGGACTGTGGTAGAGTGGTGAGGTAATGCTGCAAATCAGCACCCCAGAGAGCTAGCATTACTCCTGAGTAACAGGTGCCCCCAGTTTTCTCACCAGAAATGCCTACCACTCAAATGCGAGGAACCCCTCTGAGAACTGACCCAGCTCTGAGCAGAAAGAACAGTTTTTTAACATTGCACCTCCTACCAGAAGACAAATCCCAGGGCAGCCTCAGTGAAGAAACAGGAAGTTCCTCGAGTTTAGCCCACAATTGCAGACTTGGCATTCTAGAATCTTCCTCAGTAGAGTCACCGTGCTCCCATGCACAGAGCCCCTCAGTGCCTGTTCAGCAGTAACATGATAATTGTCTTCAGACACTTTCCTGTCTTCCTTTGTTGCAGCATTTTCTCTCTGTTTGAATCTCCAAGGCTCCTCGGGTGCAGGCTGGAGAGACACTTCCCCATCAGGTTCAGAAAACAGATAGGAATACATTTGTATAACGCTCTCCTGGAAGCACGTTAGGAGAGTCCTTAAGAATTTTATTCTAGTATTTTCATGAGTGGCATCTAAATTAATGAGCGGGAGAGGGTATAAGTTAGGAAGCAGGACAAAGGACATAGGACAAAGGACTTGGTAAGGATCAACTAGGGGCAAAGGAGACTACAGAATGTTTGTTGATCTGACTAATTAGCTGTTAGTGGTGGTGGTGTTACTGTGTGCTGTCGAGGTGGGACCAACCCACAGCTGACCCTTCAGCATGTTAACAGAGCCTGTAAATTACATGGGAGGAGATACCCATCTTTTCACCTCAGAGCAGCTGGTAGATTTCAACCTCGGGATGGCAGCTCCTTACCTAATAGGCCACCAGAAGACAAATCCCAGGGCAGCCTCAGTGCAAAAAGAGGAAGATTCCAGAATGGCTAAAACTCATTAACTCATTATCTCAGTTAGTAATTTTCAATCTTTTGGAAGCTTTTGAAAGCATGCGCGCGCGCGCGCGCGCACACACACACACACACACACACACACACATACACACACACTCTCTCTCTCTCTCTCACACTCTCATGTCTCACTATGGATCAATTCAATGGATAGGACCTAGACCTCAGTATTTTTTTTTCGGGCTTCTAGATGACTTCCCTGGTTACGTTAGACTTCCATAGGACAAAGCTACTTGTGAAGTAACTTTCTGGGTCTTAAACATAGCTGCCATACCATCACTTGTATAATGAAATCTTCAGTATAAAAACATCTGCCCAGGTTACTCCTTAAGCCCTGAGTGTGTGTCTAGAGGGATTATCAGAATAACATTAACTATTCAGTCTAGTTGGAAAGCATTTTGATATAGGGGAAAGGGCATGAGAGTCATTGGATCAGGTTTTAAGGCTGACTCCACCACCACTCCATCACTGTTTATCCTTGGATGAGTAGTTTAACTTCTCTGAACCTCTGTTCACTTACTTGTAAAACGGGGATGAACATCCTCGCCTCCAGGGATGGGCGCATGTTAAAAGATTTTAAGTGGGCCCCTACCCTTGAGCAGAGGAAACTTCTCGGCTGCCTGGGAGATTGTCCACTTCAAGCACCATAAGCCCACCATGGAAGGAAAGGGCTGGGGATGGGCAAAATGCCCAATGAGCCAGCCACAAGGGCGGGAAGATGTCCCAGGAACATGACCCTGTATGCCTGCTGGAGTCTGGAAAGGTCTCTCAGAATTTCTTCGTCTTTTCATAGAATCCAGCTGATGCAGTATGTCATCTACGGAATCGCATCCTTCTTCTTCTTGTACGGTATCATTCTGTTGGCAGAAGGCTTTTACACCACAAGTGCAGTGAAGGAGCTGCACGGTGAGTTCAAAACCACCGCCTGCGGCAGATGCATCAGCGGCATGGTGAGTACAACCTCTGACCTCCGAGGAGGAGTGCCGTGGCATGAGCTAATCCAGAGTACAGGGGGTGCTCTGTGCCGCGAGTCGTCTTGTCACCTCTTTGGAGTTAAAATCAGAAACTCATCTCTGTGCTGTTGAGAAAGAATGAAAAGCTCTAGCTGGTAGTATTAAGCCAAATGTTTCCCTTAGCAGTCCACACATATTATATTTACTGATGATTCCCCCCACCCCAAAATTAGAACTTACTGCTGCAGAAAGAGGTAATTTTCGTATTATCTTAATCCCCCTTTTGGCTAGTTTTTTAAATATTGTGCATAGCCATAAAAACCTGGCTAGGAAGTGGGGCGGAGGAATGGGGGCAAAGCCATACTCTGTGGGACATAGATTCTTAATGACTTGCCACATGGTGAGAGGATGTAGAAAGGTTGTGTCTGCTTGAGCAGCAGGTTGAGGAGGGTGTGTGTCGCACTGGAGACGTCTGGGATAGGTTATTAGTATGGTGTCGTGGGACATGAGCAAGGAAAAGAGGAAGAAGAGAAAAAAGCCTGAGCCATCCAACAGAGAGCTCTGACAATTGAGGAAGGAAGGCCAGTCAGGGAAGAAGCGCCCCCTAGTTCAAAGGAGGAGGAAGAAGTAGCCTGGGAAGTAATCTCATGTCCAGTAATGTGCATGTCACTCCTCCCTAAAGTGCCAGCCTGAAACCACCAGTGTAGGGCTCTGGGAGAGTCTCTTCTCAGAACTCTCTGGAAATGCCTGGGAAGTCCCTACTAGTCCTACCCTTGCTCTGCCCCTGGGAGGCTGTCTCCTGCCATCACGTGATAGTCTATCTCAGGCCAATACTCTGTCCAGTGCCACCATGCACGGGTGTTGTCGTCTTTAGTTGCCATCGAGGCAGTCCACCACTCCTGACAGCCCCATCATGCACTATGAAATGAGCCTGCCCAGCCCAGTGGCATCCCCATGAGCAGTTGTGGATTGGACAGTTGTGATCCATAGGGTTTCCACTGACTGATTTTTGGGAGTATATTACCAGGCTTTCTTCCTAGTCCGCCTTGGTCAAGAAGCCCAACTGGCAATGGGTGATAGCTGTGCACTAGGTGCATTGTCTGGGAACGAAGCAGAGGTCTCCACCCAGAAAGTGAGAATTTGGCCACTCAACACAGACATCTTGTGGCTGTTTGATGCCGTGGGGTAGGTACCTTCTGACTCACAGTGGGCCTGTGTACAACAGAATGAAAGTGGCCAGTCCTGTACCATCCTCACAATCACTGACTATTTGAATCCTTGAGCACAGAAGTGGCCAATCCTTCATTCCCCACACAGCGGGAAGGCTGGAGCTGAAGAGGTCAGGGCCCACAAGCAGGTGATGGCAAGGTGGCAAGCTCCCATTGGAGTCCATGGGCCTTCAGGCAGGGAGGGGGTGGTTTTCTCATGCCCGCTGTGACTTATACCATGCTGCTGGCCCAGCTCTGAATCTTTGCCTGTCACCTCCCCCCTGCCCCCTGGAGGAGAAACTATATCTCCAGACAGACCTTTGGGACACTGCACTGTGGGGTCTATGACCACACATTTTTCTTTGTCTTAAGGAACCGTTTATAGGACTTCAGAAGCAGCCAGCAGGCCTGGGGGCCCTTGAGCTAGGCCCTTTTTTAGATCCCTCTGTCCAATCTCCTCTGGGCAACCACTTGAAGACAATGCACATACGCACAGAGACACATGTGCAGGCACACCCCCCTCACTAGGACCAGTAGCCTTCTCCACAGAGGACGTTGTTTTCTGTTGTCAGGATTCTATAAGAAATGATCTATAGAAATGGAACACCACCTGCTGATGGCTCAGCAACTCAGTTCTTGGTGGTTTGAGCTTCTGTGACCCCAAAGAGGCTCCCAGTTTGCCTTGGCTCTTTCAGTTCACAATGCAGCAGAGGGAATGAGTTCAAGACTTTGGGAAATTAATTATATACCAAAAAGCTGCTATTACAGATACAAGGAGACAAGGCCTAGGTGGGGAAGTAGCTACTTAAGGGTTGCGGGGAAGGTAGTGGTAAGGGAAAAAGTGAAGAGAGCCTAATGAAAGGAGAGCTTATCCGCATCACTTGTACTCATCAAGCTTCAAAATACATAAAAGAGGAGGAGGTCCAATTTAAAACAGCTCCCTTGTGGCATTAGTTTTCAGACTTTGGGCATTAGTACATAGTAGACCATTACCTGCCTGTCAGTGGAGGCATATGCGTTGCCACAATGCTGAACAGGCTTCAGTGAAGCACCCAGACTAAGAGGCACCAGGAAGAAAGGCCTGGGGATCTGCTCTGAAGATGAACCCATGAAAACCCTGTGGATTACAATGGCCTGCTCCGTAAGCAGTCGTGGGGCTGGCACTTGGCCAGTCAGCGTTGTATTTCTTTACAATAAACCATCTGCAGTGACAGACCACGTGACACAGTAGCAGCTTGTGCTTGTCCCTGGGGTTGCTAAGCCCTCAGAAGGTGGGAAGCCCTGTGGGCCTGCGTGTTAGTGCTGTGATCGAGGAGGAAGGGGGAGAGTACACTAAGGGAATCACCAGAAGTGCTCCCAAACTCCTCTCTCGGCCTCATGGCCCCATGGAGGAGCTTTTGTGGGCCTTAGAATCGATTTAAGGACAAGTCTTTTTGGAAAGGGTGGGAACCTGCATTCCATGGAGAGGTCCTGGTTTTCCCCATCCTCTTCGTCAGTTTTGTGGCCTCTGTGTCCCTGGTCCCTGCTGCTTCCCACGCTCTCTAGGATCATGGTTTGTCTTCTAGAGTAGGAAGATGCAGGTGACTGGGGAGGGCTGAGGATGGACTGGAGCAACATGACAGTAAGTGCGGGGTTGCAGCTATGGGAGGTGGAGGCCGCTCTCATCAGCCCCTTCCTGGAGTCGCTGGCTGAATGCTGGAGGCTGCCATGGAATGAATGAGGCCCCAGGCCCACTGGTCTTCTTTGGAAGGCCTGAGCACTGTGGGAAAGGAAGGCTTGCCCAGCCAAGGCCTACTCCCATCCAAGCCTTTGTGATGTTATTAAAGGACCATCGAGGATCTCTTTGGAAGGGGATGAAAAGGAAACCTGGTCTGGAGCAGTGGCCCTGCACTCGTAGGGAGGAAAGAGGGCGAAACTGCACAGGTGACCTCCTCTGACTACTTGGAGAAATGCCACTTCTCAAAGTGTCAGTTACGGAAATAAAGAAGGGGCGGGGAATTTACCTTTTCCTGCTATTTTCTGGGGGGGACCAACAGGAGTGCCCTGTTTGAGCTGGATGCTCTCTGGCTGACCACTCTGCGCCCAGGTAGATCTCACAGTATGGAGAGGTAGGTGCAATCTTCAGGTCTACACTGCCAGCTCCAAAAACCTACACCCCCAACAAAGAGCTCCCAGCTCATACCCACACTCCCCCATGGGTGCACACTGTAAGAATATAAATACCAGGATGGTTTTGAGACAGCCTTTGAAAGCTCTGAGAATTGGTAGTCAAGACGGAAGGTTAGGGAGAAAGTAAAGCAGTATGATTATATTCTTCCTGAGGCTGCCCACAGCAGTGTGTGGGTGGATGCGAGAAGGATGCCCCCCTCCCCAAGTCATTGCTTTTGCTCCCAAAGCTGCTGTGAATCCTAAAGACTAAAAAAAAAAAATTAGACGGAAATGAGAATTTTATCAGCTTTGCTGTGTCATGAGCTTGTGTCAGAGGCCATCCTGAACTTCTAATAAAGGTTCAAGTATCAAACACTTTCCAGAATTTCACAGCATCAGGAAACATGCCCAGTTCCTCTGGAGAATACTTCCTGCAGTCATGGCTGCTTCCTGTCAGACCACCCATCCGTCATGTGCGGTAAAGATGGTTCTAGAGATACTAAGGGGAAGCTCTAAATCAGTGGCATAAGAAAGCATCCTGCGAGTTCCATGTTCCCAGGCTGCTATGATTGTTTGGAGCTCATGTGTAGAAAGTGCCAGTGTGGGAGGTCCTATCACTGATTCCCTCTGTGAGCCCAGAGAAGGGACATTACCTCTTGAAAAAAATCCAGGAAGTTCCTTCCAACCCCAACATTCTAGATCCTATCATGCCACCATTTGCCACCAAGGCAGTGCCAACTCATGGTGGCCTCGTGGGTCAGAAGAGAACTGTGCTCCCCAAGATTTGCAATGGCTGCTCTTTCAGAAGTAAATTGCCAGGTTTTCTTTCAAGACACTACTGGGTGGATTTGAACCTCCAACTTTCCTGTTAGCTAATGGGTGTGTTAACAGTTTACCTCCCCTCCCCACCTCAGGGAGTTACGGGGAGTGCAGATACCAGTTTCCAGCTGCCAGCCTTCCTTCTGGCCTCTGGATGTGGTTAGGTGCCATGTAGTCAACTGCAGCTCATAGGAATCCTGTGTACAAACACCAGCTCCGGGCCCTCCCCCGTCCTGCCCCAGCCTCATGCTCCCAGCATGCTCGAGACCACTGTTACTGTCATTGTGTCAATCCACCTTCAGTGTCTTCCTCTCCTTCCCTGACCCTCTACAAAAAGTACGTGAGACCGAGTTCCACCATCCTTCCCTCTAAGGAGCACCCTGGCTGCAGGTCCTCTAAGACAGACGTGTTCTTTTGGAAGGCCACAGGATATTCCATACTCTTCACCACCACACAGTCCATTCTCTGAGTTTGTTCCACTTGTACGGTACATGGGCCAGAGAGGCGCCATCACTGCCCTTGCAGAATGTACCTTGCCAGGTAGTTGCCTTGACAGTTCTTTTCTTCTTCTCGCCCTTGGCTTAGTTCATTTTCCTGACCTACGTGCTCGGAGTGGCCTGGCTTGGTGTCTTTGGTTTCTCGGCAGTGCCCGTGTTTATGTTCTACAACATATGGTCAACCTGTGAAGTCATCAAGTCTCCACAGACCAATGGGACAGCGGGCGTGGAGCAGATCTGCGTGGACATCCGGCAATACGGTCAGTCCTCACCGTCCCGGTGGCTGTCGCTCCTGCTGCACTGCTCCTGGGCTCTAATCACGGGGTGGGAGCCCTTACCTCACTGGTGTTCCTGTCGTGGATTCTGCTATCTGAATAGTTTATACTCGTTCCTTGAAATTTGCTTGGTTTTCCATATTCAACCATCACTTATGCTTTTCTTGCTGAAGGGTCTCACTCAAGATTTTATTATATTTTCAAACTCAATGTGTTGTCAAGAGGCTTGGGATAGCCCCAAACTACTTAATATTGCAGTCCAATCCCAAATGATAACATAATGGCCTTTACATAAAAAGCAATCACATATTTTTTTGCCTTCATTTTTTTCCAGCTTTGTATCTCCCACCTTTCATTCCAGAACATTACAGTGTTAACTGTACCGTTTCAGTCATTTTCAGGTGAAACTCTTAGAATCAGGTGGTGCCACTTTGACTTTTATCTTTTTTTGTGTTGTGTTTTGTTAAATGATCAGTTGCTTAAAAACTCCATGCATACTATTATATATAATATATACATATATATGTGTATATATATGTGCACATGTGTGTGTGTGTAATAAGCATAATGTCCAGAATATCTGAAAGTCCTCAGGTACACCTGAAAAAGCAGAAGTCAGCTTTGATTGTTGTAACCAGTGCAAACCTCTATCACCTTGCAGAAGCCGACCTCACAAAGGACAGCTATGGGGCCAGCTGGTTCCTTTTGACAGACACAGGGGGAGGGGCCCCAAGACTGTCAGTTTAATTAAGATTCTTCTTCCCTGCATCCTGCAGCATCCTCAGGGATCAGTTTAATTAGGCTTCTAGGCAGCCGAGTTCTTGGTAAAACAACTGAGGAGAAGTGCTTTTCACTAGACTCGAAGGAGAAATCGCAGTCTTTCAGAACTTTTCAGGGAAGAGACAACCATGTTATTGTTCTGTTTCCTGTGTGGCTTCTCCCCCACCTCTTACCATTCTGCCTAATGAGAAGCTTTCCCTGAACTACCCACCAGACTAAGCCGTCCTCAAGACCAAGGTTTGGCAGCACTGGCCTCAGAATGGATCATGTGTGGAGTCACATGGTGAATGAAAATAGTTCTTAAATGAAAAAAAAAGGAACTCCATTGGTTCACGCTGGTTGTGCTGCATGAAACAGTGTATATGATAATTTGCTTTGTAAGCAGATATAAATTTTTAAAAAATGAATGCTTAGATACTTACCATTGCCATTCTTTAAAATAAAGTGCTGTTCAATCTTTGTCACTCAAAATGAGTAGTTACCAGTAATGATTGGTTTAAATCTGCATTTGCGCCATTGTTGACTTCACCTTCCATTCCTTTGAAGCATCAAAAGTAATTTTTAGCCACTGACAAGGATGGAAAGAATAAAAATCTACTTTTTTCATGATTTTTTGTTTTGGGGAGGGAGTTGCCTTTGTCTTGGGAGAAGTGTACACCTTGAGCTGTGTCTTCCCTCTGAGCACACACCTGTATATTAAAAGGAGTCCTCAGACAGTGCAAACAGTTAGTGTACTTGGCAACTGAGTGAAAAGTTGATGGTTTGCACGCAGGTACCTTGGAAGAAAGGTCTGGCAATCTCCTTCCCCAAAAAGTCAGCCATTAAAAACTCTGTGAAGCACAATTCTACTTGGACACATGGAGTTGCCATGATTCAGAGTCAACTTAATGGCAATTTTAAAAAAAGAGAGTACTGAATTTTTGTTCAAGTAATGTACGTTACACATTCTGTTTTTTCTAACCATGCAACCCTCACACATTCATTTCCTATATGCACTGTAGTGTGTGTGTTTTATTTACGTGAGCACATTTTTTTGTGAAAAATCAGGAGTTATGTTTTCCTGCTCTGCTTTCCAACAGGCCTTATTATTTATTTCAAAAACCATGCTCTGCATGTGGTGGGTAAGTCACTAGTTGATGAACAGAGCTGGTAATTGCACTGTGCTAGGGATTCAAGGAGTGGCGCCTTTGCACTGTGGCATTGGCAAAGATAGCCATGGATGACCAAAAGGACAAACCAGACTGTCTAGGACGAAGTGGAGCCAGAATGTTCCTTAGAAGCAAGGATGGTGAGAAGCAGGTGTTCTCAGGAAGGGTCATGGTAAAGTAGAGGGTCAGTGAAAGAGGAAGATGAACAAGGAGATGGACTGACACAGTGACTTCTGCATGGACTCAAACAAGCAGAGATGGTGGGGCCAGGCCAGGCCCAGGCAGGGTTTTACTCTGTTGTGCACAGGGCTGCTGTGAGCCACAGTCAACCTGACTGCCCCTAAGAGCAGCAGCGACAGGCACACTAACGTTCTGCTGGGCTTCGCTTTGCAGGTATCATTCCCTGGAATGCCATCCCCGGGAAGATTTGTGGGTCGGCCCTGGAGAGCATCTGCAACACAAATGAGGTAAAGCGCCACAGGCCTGTGCTGTGAGGTTGTGAACACGCCTTCCCCTGCAGGAGGATGGCTACTGCGCTGTTGAAGATCGCTCTTCTGTACAGAGTCTTTAACACCAGGCTCTCCGCCATCTTTGACCTACAAAAATGGCCAGTTTTATGGCCCAGCCCACTGATAGAGAGACCCTAGGAACTAGCTTTTCCGTTTGCCACTAATTTGGGAGTCATCCCAAACCTACAAGTCTAGAGCTATAGCTAGACTCTTCCTTTTCCCCTTCAGAAAATTTTTCAAAGTAGAACATGCACCACAGAATAATTATAAAGAATTTCCATTGAAGAGATTCCTCTAAATGGGCAATAACCAAATTTTGATAAATGAAGGAAGCCTTCAGTAATTGTTTATACTTTCAGAGGGATCTGCTATTATTTCTCATCCACCCTAAATTGCCAGTAAATCGAAATGCTTGCGTTTTAACACCTCTCGGCCCTAGAATATTCTTCAGGCATTGGCTTATCATTGTTTATAAAGCAAAATTCTCCAACCCACTGTGGGAGCTTAAGAAGATCCCAAGGAGCCCTGATGGCCTAGTAGGGTCAGCCACAGGTCCATTGTTTGAACCTACCAGCCACTCCATGGGAGAGGGATGTGGCACTGCGCTTCCCTAAAGATGACAGTCTTGCAGACGCTATGAGGCAGGTCTCCTGTCTCATTAGGGTGGCAGCGAGTTGGAATTGCCAACTGAGTGAGTACTGGCAGTGGGTTTGGGTTTGAGGAGGTGTAAGGTGCTTTCAGAGCTCTAGTGTCTTAGTGGTAAGGAGTTGAGCTGCCAATGCAAAGGCAAGCAGTTCAACTCCGTCATCCACTCTGTGAGAGAAACATGGGCAATCCTCCCCCCCCCCATTTTAGCCTCTGAAAGCCCACTGGAATGTCAAACCCCACCTTTGCGTTGGTCCTACTCGAGGGCACACACATAACTACAAGGGTGCTTTAAGAAAGCAATGAGTAAAAGTAATTGGCTCCTACTCTAACTGGTCAGTGTGTGTATGCTCACAACATTGGGGCACAAAGGTTGTCCCCAATCTTTGCTGCACACTGCCATCCTCAAGAGGCCCACACCCTGCTAGTCAGATCTGACAAGTCTGGGTGCTGCCTGAGCCTCAGGAAGTTTTATGACGGCGGCGTGCAGCCAGGCTTGCAGAGAGTGTGCGCACACCCAGCGTGCTGCAAGGAGAAGCAGCCCCCGGGGGTGGGGTCGGTGGACCACTGCATCCTGCCTCCAATGCTCACGGCACTGCCCTGTTCCTTCCTAGTTCTACATGTCCTATCACCTGTTCATTGTGGCCTGTGCGGGAGCTGGTGCCACCGTCATTGCCCTGGTGAGTAATGGCCCAGCCCTAGTCTAGCGCCCCCTTCCCTCCAGTCTCTGTAATGACAGACTTCCCTTTCAGCTCTTGTCAACCTCTTGAAGCCAACAGCCCTGGCGCTTGACAGTGATTAAATATCACCTATGTGAGCACTGTACATGCTCAGATTTGCAGGAAGTACTAGCCGGCTGCCCTGGCCCAGTCTGTAGATGATGTCATTGGATTTGGAGGAAAGAGAGGGGACTGACCCTGGTGCACCCACTGACCAGGGCTAGTGTACTGCTTGGTTGCATCCAGCCCTTAATGACAGAACTTCAGAAGTAGACAGTTGTTCTCTTGATGATGTGCACACTTCCATACTAAGAATTCCTAACTTCTGAGTAGAAATATGCATTTACATACATATGTTGTTGTTAGGTGCCATCAAGTAAAAGAAAAAAACAAAGCAAAACCATAGACATCTATATATGGAGCCCTAATGGCTTAGTGTGTAATGTTGGTCTGCTAACTGGAAGGTTGCTGATTCAAATCCATGGCTGCTCCATGGGAGAAAGATGAGGTCATCTGCTCCGATTAAAGCTTACAGCCTTGGGAACCCGGAGAAGGATTGCCACGAACTGGAAGCAGCCTGATGGCAGTGGAGGGCGGCGGTTGTTATGAGTTGTACTCAACTCGACAGCACACACAACAACCAATGTATGTGTATGTATCCATGTATGTATACACACACACATAGTTGTTGGGTACCGTCAAGTCAGCTGACCCTCGGGCAGGTTTTCAAAGGCAGTTAATCGCATGGAAGGAGATTGCTCATCCTCCTCCTGTGGAAGAGATGGTGGATTCGAACCACGTGCCTTCAGGACTGTAGTGCACTTTCTTACCACTAGGACACCAGAGCCTAGATAGATAGATAGATAGATAGATAGATAGACAGACAGACAGACAGACAGACAGATAGATAGATAGATAGATGATAGACATACATACATACATATAGACATGCATAAGTATGTATGTGTATGAAACTTGAGGGTGTGATCTGTTATGTGGAAAACCCCAACTAAGATAGGTCGACTAAAAGGGTGAAGGTCTTTTGCTTTACAGTGATTCACTCCCAGTTTTCCAAATCATTAATTCCATTCTCATTACAGTCCATGCATACAGACAAACGTAACCGGAACAAACGCTGTCACGTCAGTCACCTGTTGTGGTGGCGGCTCTCGGTGCAGCGAGCAGCAGGCGAGCAGGGGCTGGCGCAGCTGACCTGACCGGGGTGTTGGGAAAGGCGGGAGGAGGGAGGCCCTAGAAGCAGCCTTCTGCCGCGGTCCCAGCCCGCCATCTTCTTCTGCCACACCCAGTTCTTTTCATAAACTCACACTGACTCGCAGAGGGCAGAGCCGAGGTCTTGCACTGGGAGATGAGAAAGTGGTTTGAGTGTGCTAAAGGTGACCCCGTCTCTCTGCAGATATGGGGGGACCAGCCGGCAGCCCTCCCCGCCCCATGTAGACACGCCGGGCCGGCCCTCACTGCCTCTCTCTCACCGTCCTGTTTTGTTCTCTTCCACCAGCTGATCTACATGATGGCTACTACCTATAACTATGCGGTTTTGAAGTTTAAGAGTCGGGAAGATTGCTGCACTAAGTTCTAAATTGCATAAGGCCAATAAGGAGCTTTAGAGAGCTCTCCTCTGTAGCATGAAGTCTCACTGACACCCTAGACTAAAGCAGAGCTAGGTTTCTGCAGTTTTGTTCCAGTAATTTGTACATAGCTTTAGTGAACTCATTTTGCATGATAGAGTAATAAAAAGACTTACTGTCCATGAGTTACACAATAATGAGAACTGGCTACTTGCATTTTTTTTTTTTTTAGAAGGATCAGTTATTTACTGACGTTGGTCAGTAGCCCTGGTGGAAAATGGCTTTCTTGAACTTAACCTTCACGCAGTATCTCTAAATGCGGTATTAAAGCTTGAGAATGCCTGCATCTTCCACTACCTTGGCTTTTGCTTGGTGACCAGTTTGAGCAATGAGAATGAAACGGGCACTGAAGGTGAAGCAGAGTGCTGTGCTCATCTGGATTTTGTTTTCTGTCACACTTGCTTTCTGGAACACAAGTTGCAAATGAACTCTAAATTTTATTTTTAAAAAACAACAACAAAAAAAACCCCAACCCCCCCCAAACCACAAACATATATGAGCAAATGAGTCACTATCCACCCCCCCAAATATATATGCCATTAAAATATACCAAGTGAAAATTGGAAAAGATCAAAGAAAAGGCACCCATTTGTTTCCTATATTGATTTTGTGCACAACACAATCATTCTCTCAGAGTCCTTTCAGCCACTGTGTTGGTGAGTAACTGATTCCTTGTTTTAATAGTCAGTTCTCTAAATGGCACGTAAGATTTTTAATGGGAAGAGAAGTTGTACCGTCAATGGAATGTCTCAAGTATATGTAGATGGATTTTTGCAGGAAATGTTGAGGAAAAGAAAAGAGAAAGAAGCATTTGCAACATTAATTGTAATGAATGATTAAGGATTTTTTACATTTTGTGAAACACAGCACTAGCAGTTATAAAATGCAAAAAAGAAATTGTAGTTTCACTACTAAATGTTAACCCAGACTGCATGCTTGGCTTATAGTTCTTAATTTTGATTTTTACATTCATTTTACTTTCCCATGTTAATCATGTAGGTTTTTATCATTATTATTTACCCAAAATAAATATTGTTCACAATTTTAGGCCTTTGAGGAGATTTCTTTTCATCCACAGGTAGAAAAAGCTTTTTGCACTACACTTGTTTAAAAAACATAAACGTTTCTGAACTTCTAGTCTTTGAAATGACTCTCAAATGGTAAAAACACCCTCTTGTATTTCAGTTTTGCTTTTTCCTAACAATAACTTTGGCCATTTTTTTAAAAGTTCATTATATTTGTGTACTAACTTTTCTTCAGCCTGTTAATATTAAGCCAAGGGGTAGAGCATGCTTTCAGTATCTGATCCTCTGATGGCAGACTGGGTATTAATACAGAATAACCTTCCCTTGCCCCTTGTTTAAGTACAGACCGTCTAACTGACTAGCAGCTTGCTTTGCCTTCTGACATGCTCACTAGCCATCATGCTCACCCTTCTCTTCCAGATCCACTTCCTCATGATACTGTCTTCTAACTGGGCTTACTTAAAGGATGCGAGCAAAATGCAGGCTTACCAGGATATCAAAGCAAAGGAAGAGCAGGAACTGCAAGATATCCAGTCTCGGTCAAAAGAACAACTCAATTCTTACACATAAGTGTTTGCCAGAGCGTTTCCGCCGAAGAATTCACAGCTCTGACAAATCACCAGACAGCTGCTCTGCAGTACAGATGTGTGTCCCACCAAACAAACTCCTGTACAAGTCCAAACACTTCACTGTCTGTCTCAAGCTGCTGGGATGTGTTTCTAGGCAAGCCTTCCAGTAGGTAAAGCTTTTCTTTTAGAACAGATATTGGAGGTTCCATGTGCGCCATTTTAAAAGGCAACACTTTAGCCAAAATGATGGGTTCATCCTTTTGAAATTTGTGGCATGTTCACACTTAGGCTAGAGCAATTGTACCAAGACAGGCCGTGGAGTGAGTCATATTCCTTGCTAGGGACACGTGACGTGCCCGCATCAAGGGATGTGATACACAGGCCACCTGTCCTCGAAGCAGTGTATCCATACAGGAAGTGAAACTGAGGTTCCATTTATGACAGCCAACATGTAGTACAGTTTGGCTCAACCAAGGTAAATGTGAGCCTTACAGCTGATATTTTTAAATTAGCTGACCTTCACCCCCAAGTCCAGGACACTTGCATTTCCCAAGCAGACCACAAGTCCCCTTTTTCAATCATGTTCAAAGGAGACCTTCAAATTCTGCCGTCCCCACGGCCAAGTAAGCTGGGTTCTGACTTACTGACAAGCTATCCAGACTCCATTTTATGATCAATTCCATTTTAACAAAATGCTAATGACCCAGACATTGTCGTTCTGCTTGGGAAATAAATGTCAGCTCTGCCTTAACGCATATTTGAAAATTTCTACCAATTTCTATTGTACCTGCGGACTTTGGCTCCTCTGCAGAATTTGGTTCCATCAACGTTTTTAATGAAGTGTTACCTTATTAAAATGACCACCATCCTACACCATCCTTAAGTGGTCTGGATAGTGAGTTTACAATTTCATACCAACTCTCTGCAACCGAATTACCAGAGACCACAGACCTCCTAGTTTTCTAGACTTGAAGACTTCAGTCATTTAAATTAGGGTATTTGTTTCACGTTCTTTTTCCATATCTAAATCTTAGTTTCCTGGAATAATAAAGCTTGATGTTCAGCGAGAAAAACTGCTTGAGTTTAAGCCATCTGCAACAGAAACCTGCCTTCTAAACCATGTGTTCCCGAACATTAAGTGACTCTCTAGGTATTGGGTATTTGTGATGGTAACCTTTGTGTTGTTCTTTCTGAAATGATACATTTAACTGTTGGGTGATCAGTGCTTTTCAAAGGGGCTGCATTATATAGTTAACTATGTATATTCATGTTAAGAGTTAAACTTGTGGTTTGGCTGTTTCCTGGATTTTAAAACATATACGTGTGCTGAAATGTATTAAAATGAAAGGAAGCATACCTTTATCAAGATGCTATTAAGATGCTATTAAAATTGAACATTCCTCAAGTATGATTATTTCATTTGGATTCTTTTTTTCCTTTTTGGTTAATGCCTAAATGCCTATTTGGGACTTTTCTGTGTTTTCATCAGGAGAGGCGCTCTTCTGTGTAGGACAGTTGTTTCTCAATAGCTTAGTGTTTCTTTTCCTGTTGCATGACAGCCTTCAATATTTTTCCCAGCCAGTGGAGGTGCTGTTCGCGTCCCGTGTTCTCCTAGACGAAGCAGTGTCTAAAGCCTAATTTTCCTTTTCTAATTCTGGTAGCTACTACCAGGAATTTTTGAAAGTTTTGTTTAAGTAGTCTAATATTTTTTATGTAAAGAGCATTAAATTTTGCTATGTATAAAATTTTTGTAACCTAACAGTGAATCAATATTTTCTATCAGTGCCAAGGGCTTCCTGTAGTTCTATTCAAGTGTTACAATAAATATTTGTAGATAATAGTCAATACTTGTGTATGCTTATTTTAAAGCTCTATTTAGGTGGAAACAGTTGTGGATGTACTGAGAGTCATGAAATAAAATTATAGCTTCCTTCACTTGCCTTTTTACCATACAGAAATCCTATCTTTCTTTGTCCTTGGTACAGTGTCATTTTAAGTACTGCACTTCAGCGCGATCTGTGTGGGACTCCAGTCTGTGAGAGAATGCTGCATGCTTCCTTGTGGACAGAAACCTGGGTTGCATGAGAGTAATCTGAGAAAATACTGTAAGCCAGCACATAAAGCCAATCACAGGCACTTTCTAGCTCTATGGGGAAAAGACAGAATTCTTTGGGCTAGCCTCTTCAAGAGATGAAAACTATATCTGTGGGCTTAACACAAAGCTTAAACTTTACCACTGATTGGAGAAAAAGGAGAAACAATGGAGGGGGCTGGGGAGTGTGTATGTGCGCACGCACACGTGTGCATGCATGTTCCAGTGCTATTTTACAAACTCAAAACCTAGAGGTCTATCAGATTGACTCAGGTGTGTTAAAAATCGAGATCCAACAGTTACACTCTAAAGCAGAAGTGAATTCCATCCAAGTTCCCTTCCCAATCTGTTTCAGCTACTTGCCAGCGTGATTGTACTTGGGAATTTTGCCACCTCTCACATTTCTTTGTAATAATCAGCCTCTGTCACTATTTCCACAGTGACACTTCTAACCAAGGTGCTGATTCTGAATTGCTGCCCTTTGATCAAGCACAGCTGAACAATCAAAAGCCCAATTCATGTGCTGTTTTTCACAATAACCCCTTTTGTACATCTAGCATTTTGCACAGTAAGATGTCACCTAATAAGCTTAAGGGTGTAGAAGACTAGCTAGGGAAGGTCACATGCAGTCTCTTTAAGTGGCAACAACACTATAAAACAAACTTCTAGAAGATGGAGTTGAGATTTTTCCACTTCTGTAGTTCGACCTTTTGAAGCTTTTAAGAGGTGAAAATAAGAATACTTCTATAAGCCTACACGTTTGCAAACCAATGCTTGAAACTACTCTAAATTCACTAAGCAAAGACTCAAAGATTCCACAGAAATGAGTCATGGTTTTTTGGTTTGTTTAAAGATCACTGGTAACAGAAAGGGTGGGAAGGGGAGTAATATTAGAAAATGTTGAGGTGATGCTGAAATAAAAGCAACAATGGTGGTGGTGTTATATGCCATTGAGTAGCCTGTGACTCATAGCAACCCTATGTACAACAGCCCTAAACCCTGCTCTGTCCTGTGCCAATCTCACTATCTCTGACACACCTACCCCATTACCCCAGTCACTGACTCATTCCATCTCATCCAGGGTCTTCCTCTCCTGCACTGTCCCTCCACCCTCCCAAGCATGATGTCCCTCTCCAAGGACTGGTCCTGCTTTGCAACATATCCAAAGTATGTCAGACGAAGCTTCAGAATCCTTGCCTCCAAGGAGCAGCCTGATTTAGCAATGTTCAAAAAGCCATCGAACAGCAAATGCAGGCAAGGCTGGGAAGCCTACAATAACAAAACAGGGAGCTCTGGCATCTAATCCACATCGAGCTCCACTGTCAATCCAAAGATTACTCGATGGCCTGAATCCACCAGCAGAGCCTCAAAGAAAGATGGGCAATCTGCTCCCGTGCGATTTACAGCCTCTCAAAACCTACTGGAGGGGCAGCCAGGAGTCGACTGCTCCTCAATGGCAGTGATGAATAAAGAAAGACAAAAATGTGAAAACCAAAGACAGTATATTCTAGTGTAAGGAAAGCCTAAGACTAAGGCCACACATGACTGAGAAGAGCCACTGCTTGACTATTTCTAGTGATGAATAGAAGGATGATGTGAAAACAAATCAGGCTTACATGTATCATCTTTATTGAGCATTTTGTTTTATCACAAAGCACAGGCCAAAATGTTACTTATTCAGTAACTTCTGATGGTTATATGCAAGAAGCTGAGCAGCAAACATTATCACCAAGAGTCATCTGGTACTTCAGGAGACAAGGCTGAGAAACTGAATTAGGGAAAGACACAAATTATACTTGTTAAGATTATTCGTGGCCCTTCACAATGTCCTCCCTCCTTCCCAGAAGGGTTTCTGGCCTAGTTTATGATTTGTAGCAGGATATTTCCAAAAGTCAAAAAAAGCAGCCAATTTTGGTTTTAAGTTATTAATTCTCAGTGATTCAATAATTGAGAATAACAGGCAACTTGGAATACTTAAAAGCTTGCATTGGTTAATGAAACTAGTAATAGGATAAAACACTGTGTGAGGAACAGCATGTTTGAGCAAACTATACCTTTCATCTTTGTCACTAGCTGGCAGCACGTCCACTAGTGAGCTTTCTTTACCAGTTATCTTGTTTGAGCTCTGATCCGTAAAGGGGAGGAAAGGACATATAGCAAATTAGAGAACCATTAATTTTATCAAACACTTCATGATTTTGCTTAAAAATATTCCTGAAATATATATGAAACTATAACAAGCATATTAGAAGTTTGTAACATATTAAACATTCATAGTATCTTATTTGCACTTATATTGCACCCATATAAACTCAGCCTGTATAAGAAACTAATGTTTAAGGAAGTATCATTGCTTGCAAAAACCATATATAACATGCATATTATTTGCACAAAAAATATACTTGTAACTTACATAAAATCTTAATCTCTCATTCTATTTATGGAGAGATCTTGGTTTATTGTTTCTTGTTCTTTAAACATTAAGAGACAACCCAATTTTTCCAGACCAAAATCTTTTACTCCAGTGAAAGCTATGAAAGTCTATTAAGAGTGTAATATAAAGACAGCAGATTCCATATGTACATGAGATTTTCTATATAGCTTTACCTTTTTGTCTTTGATGGAAAAGGCAGATACAGTCCTTTCCTGAGGGTTTAAAATAACCACCATGTCCCCCACCCCAGGCTCTGCATCCCACGGCACCCTCACCTTGTCTGTTGAATCTTGATCTCTCTGCTCCTGAATGATTTTCATGTATTTCTCTAAGGCATTTTCACCTCTATCAGATTTGTCTTTCATTTCTTGCACACTTGTTTCTAATTCTTTTTCCATTTCAATTTTCAATGATTCTTCAATTATCCTCTATAAAATAGATGGGTACCAATATTAGAAATAAAGACATCTTAGCTTTATTTAAAAGCACACAGTAAATAAATCTGGATCTTCTAAGAGCTGCAAACAAGAGAAACACACACACACACACACACACACACACGCTCTCTCTCCAGTCACTGCTGCCATTCCAGGGAAACAAGTCATCTAAGTGAAGTGAGAAATTAATTTCCCCAAGGGATCCTGTGCTTTGGACCCAAATTAATCAGTAGTCCAGAGAACATTTGCACAGAGGATAAGTTGGCTTAAGACTCAGCAGGAGTGCTACACAGCCAGAGTAATCGATGTATTGGGACTAGTATCAGGACACAGAAGACAAGGACAGAATGGAGGGAAAGGAAGTGTGAGCCGCTAGAAGCAGCTGGGGCTGGGCAGCCACCTCCTCTGGCCTAGTCCTATTTCTCGCTGGCTGGCCCTAGCAGTCTCTCCCTTAGACTCCATTTATCAAGCAGACTCGAGTCTACTTTCTTTGCACACTTAAGACTCAAGTGCCAAAAGTGCTTTCAAAAAGACTATAAACGTGTAAGGAGTAACAGGCAGACTTTCTAAAAAGTGTCTGCCAGTCCTGTAACTGAGGACATACTAATTACTGGGGGTGTAGAAGACCCCCAGAAATGAGTGTGGCGGATTACGCCATTCAGATTACCCTTTCTTGATCCAGCTTTTCTAGTTCTCTCTGTTCCTTTTCGAAAGCTTCTTGTTGTTCACTCAGCCTTCGTTCTTCTTTCTGCCTTCGTTCTTTTGCGAGCTGCTCCCATATGCTCTCCTCTTCCTTGAGTGTTCCGCTCTGTTTCTGTTCTACATCTAATAGGGTAGAAAAGGAATCATTAAGTAGCTTTTATTATTATACTAGTTTATTTACAAAATTTGAATGCACTGTTTTTCAGACCCGACTCTTCCAATTTCCCTCAGCCCTCCCCCCATCACATTGTACAACCCCATAATTAATCCTCCTCCCTCCCTGCACCTCATCCCTCTGCTTTTAGCACCAGATTTCTCTAACAAATGAGTCTGCGCTAATACTAAGGAATTCTTTCGATTCCCAGTTGGCTGACTGTTGACCTCCTTCAGGCTGCTGGTCTCCATGCTTCCGAGCCCTAGCCGCACTCCCACACCTCGATGGTCATCTCCAGCTGAAACTAGTTTGCTGGTCCTCCCAGCCACAGGACTGCACTCAATCTCTCCATCTCCTCTCTCCTTTCCAGAGGAAAATCTCAGATCGTCTGAGTCTGACTAGGATTCCTCTTCTAGCATGAAGACTCTGATTTTAAAAGTAGTCCCTACCTTTTTTTTTTTAACCATTTTATCAGTTCTTTCTCCTTTCTCCTACAAAAATATTCAAATCTCTCCTCGTCAATGCCAAACCCACCACCCTGCTCTATCCATTGCACTGGCCACCTTGCTGTCCACAGACCACATCCCCCCTGGGGGTCTTTGCAGTGGTAGCTCCTGCATGTCTTTCTTTAATCCTAATCTCCCCCAAGGCCCCAATCCATGCGTCTACTGGGGTCCCTGAGCACAGAGACTTCCTGAGGCACTGGCTCTGTATATGAAGTTGTCATTACTTTCAACAACAACAGCAAAGTTCAATAGAACAGCAAACAACAAGTGCTGGCAATGTTGTGAGACACTCATTCACTGCTGGTGGGAATGTAATAGGGTACTGCCACTGTGGAAGGCCACATGGCACTTTCTCAAAAAGTCAGAGAAATACCATTTGACCCAGCAATTCCACTAATGAGAATATACCCTAAAGAAACCAGAGCCACACCTCAAACAGATATATGCACACCCACGTTTATTTCTACATTATTCACAATAGCCAAGAGATGGAAGCAACCCAAGTGCCCATCAATAAACAAAAGAATAGAAAAACTATGGCACATAGACACAACAGAATACTATGCAGCATTGAAAAACAATGAACTTGTAAAACATTACACAATATGGGGAAGCCTTGAGGACATTATGCTAAGTGAAATATCTCAGTCACAAAAGGATAACTACTGCATAACACCACTGTTATAAAATAGGACAGACATTGACGGTGGAATGAGGAAAAGAGTGGGTAATGAATACTGCATTAAATCAGATGAGGAGAAGAACTGTCCAAAAGGAATATATAATTAGGCATTATCTGCATGACAATGATCTAGAACCAGGGGTGCATTGTGGGAAGGGCGGGGGGAAGAAGAAAATGTGCAACGAGTTAAAAAAAATATAAAAAAGGTGTCATTACTGCCCCTTTTATTACACTCTTGTCTATGCACATGGTCACCAAGGTACACAGTGCCTCCTGTTATAATGAGGATCTGTACTGCTGTGGCCCTGGACCTGTGTGATAACCCCTTCCTAACCCTTGACATGACTCATGTCTATCAGCACAGCGTCATCTCCCGGAGGCTGCGTGGGTTCTGACAACCTGTCTGGGCTCTCCTTTCCTGGTCATTTCCTACGCTGCCACTACCTCTGGCGCAGGGAAGAATAACCCTCTAACCTTCTTTCTCTAGGGCTGCGGCATCCATGCCTTGCCTTCCACCTCCTGAGCTACAGGGCCCCACTCTCCCCACAAAGACCCACTGACTCCTCAAGAGGCAAAAGAACTACCAACCCTTCTAGGGGGTTCTGATTCCTGAAAGGACAATAAGCCACTCCAGCACCATATTCACACAGCACTTTGCATCTGCCTGGTCAAAAATCACGTACACTTCTTTCTCTAAATCTATTCCTTATGGACAAGGCCCAGATGTTCAGTAGCTGTCCACTCCCTAGAGTGCTTAGCCCAGGTCCCTACACCTCAAAGGATTCCACAAATCTCAAAGCCACAGATGTGCTTCCTCTGTCTCCAGTCGGTGCCCTGAATGCTTTTATGCAAGTGGGGCAAATAAACTGCTGGGTAAGTCTTCACCAAAAACACAGCCCAACAGTGTTTTCTAAAGGTCAAGAACTTCTCTGTGTTGGAATCTATTTTGTGGTAACTGGTCAGCAGACAGATACCTTTTTTGTTATAAGAGCAAAGATAAGAAACACTTCGACTGGGCCCCTCACAGATGCCAAGTTCCCGTCTTCTCCCTTCCCTCTGAGCCTTGATAAAGAGGAAAGATGATGAATAACAGAACTTCTCGATCACAAAGGGACCACACTGCCTGCTAACCATCACCCAGGGGGCACTAGTGTGCCCTTTGTCCATTTCACAGGCGGAAGCCTCTTCAACCCAGATGCATTCCCTCTGGCCTTTTTATCCTCTCACCTCACCTGAGTCTCTTCCAAATGGCTGCCTGACCACTTACCCTCGCTTTCCCAACCACTGTCCCCATCCGCTTGAACAAAGGTGGGCTGCTGCTAGAAACCAGCATCTCACTGGTTTCTTGAAGTAACTCCTCATATTCCTGAATGCTGCAACTTAAAGAGGCTCAGGGCCTGTGTGGGGATTGATGGTGCTCCACTGCTTTAAAGTGACTCCAAGGTAGTTTTCCTGGATGGGTTTCCACTGCAAGGCTGGAAGCCTGGGATCAATGGACAAATCTGCCTCGAGGAAGTTCCCACTTCTACTTGAGATCTGCATCTTCCTTCCCTCGGCCTGAATGGTGAGGGTAGTGGGAGGCTAATGGGGGGCCAAGACGAAAGAGAGAGTGGGCCAGGGAAGGGAAGGTGTCGGCCAATTTCTCCCTGGCACGAAGTAAACTGGGCGTCATCAGCTTTCTCCTTGACTGGGGAGTTTCCCCCGTCCTCATTTTTGAAGATATGAAGGAAACAAACAGATAAACAAGCAGTAGGAAAATGTTAAAATCACATCCAATCCCTTCCCACACAGAATTCTCAGCCCTTCCTCCCGGGTTCGACTTGAGTGTGTCTCAGAAAAGCAGTGATGACGCCTTAACCCCAAAGCTCTGAATCAATGGTTACAGAACACCTTCAATGGAACTCGTATACCTAACAAGGTCCCCGCAAAACCCAACTTACCCGGGTAGTGATACGAGGCAGGCATGGCAGCAGAGAGGGTCTCCATGGGAGGCATGTCACCTGCTGGTAGTAGCTCATCCACTTCAAACAACCTTGGCATGTTCCCAGCATCTATATAGGGGTGGGGATGTGGGGGGGGGGTGCAAACAATCATCCCATGAGCCATTTACAATGGCCAGAGAAGGAGGTGCTGTAGGGGATGAAGCAAGTGGGCCAGCCCCTTCCCTGCATTTCCACAGACATTTGCCAGTGTATTTTCAGACTTGAAAGAATGGTATTTGTCTGTAATATTTGATGAATTATCCAACAGGAAATCACGCCAGTGAAAGCGAGAAAACGGACCTGGATTGCTGACAAACATTTGAATGTTACTACAGCAGGACTGGTTTCTCAAAGGTGCCCCTTCACTGGCAAGTTCAAAATAATTTGTAAAAGGCCTTCTCACTTAAAGTGAATGAATTGTTAGCCTCAGACTTGACAGTGACATTGACAAAGCCAAGTGGTAAGTTATACGCAAAATATACAGACATGCCCAGCTTGGAAAGATCCCCAAGGTGACGGGCCTCATACGTGCTTATACTTAAGCCATGGGGCAGCAAAGCCACCCTGACTGAGTCGGGGCTGTGGCCTGGGCACCAGCTTCCCAACTCTTCTCCCCTCCCTTATTCTCCTAAGAGCGAGCGGATTTCCTATGTCTGAGGCAATCTAGAGCATCAGCATCACACAAAGGAAAATCCCAACATTCTATAGTCCATAAAAAAGGAAAAACATTTTTTAATCACTTCTTTTAAATATGAGGCCATCCAAAAGTTGGTAAGTAAAGCTTCTCTTTCTGTCTTCACTGTCACTTTGATTCATTCAGTTTCTCTCAAATGTTGAATTGATCCATTATTCTGAAATTTTTAACTTTTTAAAAAATGAGCTCTGGTGGTGCAGTGCGTAGGGAGCTGCGCTGCTAACCCAACGATTACACCTCTCCACCAGTTCAAATCCACCAGTAGCTCTGAGGAAGAAAGATGAGCAATCTCCTCCCATGCCATTTACAGCCTTGGAAATTCAACAGAGGATCAGCTAGAAGCTTCTTCTGATCCATCTCAATGGCAATGATTTTGAGATTTTTTTTTTAAATGGAATTTAGATGCAACACTGAAAAGCTTTACAATATAAAACAGAGCTGAGGTGCAAGCACTGTGGAAGGCGGTATGGTGCTTTCTCAAAAAGTTGCAAATAGAGATACCATTTGACCCAGCAATTCCACTACTGGGAATATACACCAAAGAGACCATAACTGACACCCAAGCAGATAATATGCACACCCATGTTTATCGCGGCTTTGTTCACAATAGCAAGGAGTTGGAAACAACCTAAGTGCCCACCAACAAATGAATAGATAGAAAAGATGTGGTATATTCACACAATGGAAT